ATTTTTACAGGCCTTATTTGGGCTGTGCTATGTCATTTGGAAGGGAAGTGGTGGCACTGTCGGTAAACCACAGAAGCCTGTGCTGCAGGGTCAGAAGACCAGCAGTCGTAAGATTGAATTCACGCAACAGAGCTCCCGTCACTTTGTCCCAGCTCCTCGCCAACCTAGCAGTTCGAAAGCATGTAAATGCGAGTAGATAAATAGGTACCATCTTGGTGGGAAGGTAAAATGGTGTTCCCTAGTCATGCTGGCCACGTGACAACGGAAAACTGTCTTTGGACAAGCGCTGGCTCTTAAGCTTGAAAAGCGGGATGAGCACTGCCCCCTAAAGTCGGACACGACTGGACTCAAAATGTCAAGGGGAACCTTTACCTTTACTATGTCATTTGGAAACCTACAAGTGTGTGTGTGTGTGTGTGTTCTGTTTTATGTTTGTCTATTGTACACGAAGCCAAAATGCTGAGAACAGTTTGAGAGTTACACATGAGAGCAGTCCATGAAAAAAGAAAAAAAGAAAAACTAAAAGCCAGCCTGATGATTTCACTGCTGTCTGTTTTGCTTGTCTTAAAACACCCTGGTGTCTTCTCTTGGAGAATATAAGCTGTCCATTTAATCCTCCACTCCTCAACAGGCAACTGGTGTTTTAGGATGGAGAACCCTCAGCCTTCAATATGTTGATGAATTACTGGAGATGTTGTTCAAAGTCAAGCCTTTCAGCTTTAGGCAGGATGTAAGTGGAGAGGCATAATAAGAGTCATCATGTGTTACCACTGGGAACTTTGACTGGAGCTGATGGGAGTCTGACTTCAACAGCTTTTAGATGGCTACAGATCCCTGAGCCTTGATTTAGAGGCAGTACTTTCTGACTGCATGTTTGCTTATGTTAGGGTACGAAGATTCATACACATAAATGTGTGCAATACTCGTTCCTCCATGAAAAATAAAGCACAAGTATGTGTTTTAAAATATGTGTTCATAACTTGTTTTGTGCATTGTGAACAATTTGATACGCATACCTAAGTGGGATATTTTTCTTCGGATGGAGCCTATCCATTTTGGCTCTTATAAAACTTTAAATAATATCTGAGGATGCAATTTGAATCTTACTTATAAGGAAATATAAATAATTAAGCTAGGTAAAATGAATTTCTAAGTAGACATGCATAGGAGTGTCCTATACATTACTGGTCAGTGTCTGCGTGTAAATTTACACCAATGATTTGCACCATATAATGAGCTTTGCCATGTTTTTCATTGTTGTTAGTTGCCTTGGAAAATAAAATGCATAAGAAATTTTGTAAATGATGATACTGTGCATGAGAATGTCAAAAAATTAAAATTATATTTGGGATGATCTTTACTGTGTATTAGGGCTGGATTTTTGACAGAAATGAAATGGTAATTTCCCTGACTGAAAGAGACAGAATGCTCTCTTGAAGATGGTAGAGATGCAAGAGCATCTATGAGGCTATAATTGGGTACCTCATAACTCAGCATATGCTTGTTTTCCTGTTTTGCATTATTAGAGTTGAACTAATGAGAGCATTTCCCCCAACATTATTTAGGCAAGTGTTCCCAAACGGGCTTCCAGAAGAATATTTCCTAACAGCCACATTCCGTGTTAGAAGAAACAGCAAAAAAGAAAGGTGGTATTTGCTGCAAATTTTAGATCACCATAACTTGCCACAGGTAAGAACACATTCTCTTTCCCATTTTGTTTGGGTTTCTCCCCCCGCCCCCATTTTTTACCTTGTCTCTACCCCACTCTTTTAGGCTAATACAGATATTCCTCTTCCAATTTCAGACTGCACTCAAAATGTGCCCATCCCCCTCTTCACCACCACCCCCGAAACAACAGTGACCATTCTCCAACTTAGGTAGTATAGTAACACTGCCAGTTCTCCTTTACGCACCTACCTGGAATGGTAGGTGCATAAAGGCAAACCAAAGAATCTCCTAGAACCTAAAAACACTGCCTCCCCATTTTTTCCCATCAGTGATGGCAAGATGGAGAAGTAAGCAATGTAAAGTGAATTACACAGTAAAACATTTAACTGTTGCTCAATGACTGAGTCACATGGTTGAACAGAAGAGGTGGAATGCAGAGATCCCCATACACAAACTGAAGGCAAAGATGAGATTTCCATTGATCTTTCTCAGCAGTAGTCCTCTCATCACATCACATCTCATTGCGGAGCGTTCCCTGACCCTTAGAAGTGGCTTTAGGGCACAAATGCATGCAGGAGGCCACAAGGAAAAGGGGAGGGCCAGAAAGCCCCATTGACCAACCAGAATTTTCCACCCAAAATGAACACATGTGTGCAGTGGTGCCTCACTTAACGAGCGCCCCGTTTAATGATGAATCCACATAGCGATGAGGTTTTTGTGATCGCAAAAGCGATCGCATTGCGATGTTTTAGATGACCAAAAATCGCTTTGCGATGATCGGTAAGCATTTCGCTTACCCATTTTCACATAGTGATGCTTTAAAAACAGCTGATCAGTGGTTCCAAAATGGCTGCCAGAAAAAATGGCCACCTACAGTGTTTTCGCGCCCTTTTCTTGCTTACAGGACAGCAAAAATGGTGGCCGGATGGAGGATTTCTGCACAGCGGTGAGTTTTTTCCCCATAGGAATGCATTAAACGTGTTTTAATGCGTTCCTATGGGGTTTTTTCCCCGCATAGCGACGAATCTGGATAGCAACGATTTTTTTGGCACGGATTATCGTCGCTATGCGGGGCACCACTGTATTTCTGTACTGTTCTTCACTAACTCAAAACTTATTCATTTTGAAGCTGCATCCAACTATTTTGAAGTTTCCTTCTCATATTTTATTTCAGGTGTACATGACAGTCGATGGTTCAAAGAAACTTGTAGAATATGTCGCACAATCCACCCAAGGGCACTCCTTGCGCTATACCTTTAAAAGCCGTGACATCCACACTGTCTTTGATCGGCAGTGGCATAAGATTGGCATCAGCGTACAATCAAGGATGATTTCTCTCTATGTGGACTGCAGTTTAATTGAGCAAAGGCAAACAGATGAAAAAACTACTGCCGACTTCCATGGAAAGGTTCTTGTTGCCAGCCGTTACTTAGACGGCAAGACTGTAGATGTAAGTGATCCATGAAAACATCTGCCAACAGAGTGCCCCCAGAAAAAGGGAAACAAATCACCAAATTTGTTCAAAAATTGCTAATTCATCAATTTGTATTCATATGAATCAACAATCTGATGAATCAATGAATTTTGAGTGATTTTTTAAATTCATTCATTTGTTGGCTATAAAACAAACCCCAAGGCAACCAGAGACACCAACATTGCAGGGAAGGTTCCTCTGACTCTCTTCTACAATCCTTCCAAGTTTGGTAAAGATTGGGTTTTCTCAAGCCAGGTGCTAAAGGGCACTTTCCTGGGGGGACCCACTTTGTGGCTGTATAACTTGGATGTCTGAAACCCAATCTTCACCAAACTTTGAGGGACTGTAGAGGACAGTTGTTTGGTGTATGGTAGATGAGTCAGTGCTTTTTATTTCATAGTCTCTGTATGTGCAAGGTCACACATGCATTTTCTCCCTGTTGGTACCTCCCATTTGTACAAGTTTCACTCTAGATACTACGTGGAAAAGAAAGTACCCTCGCCCCGTGCTTCTGGCTATTGTCACATTACTTTTATTTCCCCAGCCCTTTTCCTCTATCCCTACCTCACCACCATCTCCTTTTCATCTGGTTTCTTTCTCTTGAGTCTATAAATGTCTCACAAAACAGTTAGCATGGACAGGCTCTCCTCAGCAGGCAAACACTTGCAGAAATATGCCACTTGTGGGAGAAAACAATTCTCTGGCCAGCTTTTTTTTCTCCCTAGGAAGGTAAAAGCAGTTCAAACATAGCCCCATATTTTGCAGTGAGCTTGCCCCCATTGTTTATTTTATTTTTAAAACCACTTCTTGCTGTGTAGAGCATTTAGTACACAGGCAATGCAAATACCTGTACCCACTCACATATTTTGATCAGCTTTGAGGTGGATGTTTTTCTGTTTCAGTTTTCAAACTCCACAACAAATATTTATCTGTTGTAAGAAGTTATTTGTTTCCCTTGATCCATGAATTGGAGTGGCATGTTTTGCTTTAGTTGTTTCTTTCTTTTCCTGGATCAGCCTCATGGGTTACCCTGGCCAATGGAAACCTATTGGTTTCCATGGAGTGCCATTATGTAAACAATCAGATCGGACTGTAGGGCATCACGGATGGGAGGTGAAATAATTTCAGTACAAGATCCATGCCTTCTAGATCAGTCACATCATCTGGTTAGTCAGTCAGTGGGAATCATGTAGTAAATGTGAACTTAGCCCAGTGTTATATAGCAAATGAGATTAGGCCAGATGATAAAATTGTTGAGAATAATGAAATTGAACAGAAAGAGAAGAAAAAAGTGAAAGGGGATCATATAAATGATCAAATATTTAAACCAATATTTCACAGACATTGGTAAGGAAGTATGCAGTAACATAAATATTTTATGGCCACAATCCAAAATAGATTAAAGCACATTTAAGACATTTTATTTATGTGGGTTCAACCCTACTAATAGAAGCATCATTTCTGTCACTATTTTTTTGCTATACTCGGCTGATAATATCCCTGTGTTTATGAAACAGATTGAACTTGGTCGCATGATATTATACTGCAATCCGAGACTTGCTGCTCTGGAGATGTGCTGTGAATTATCTGAGAATATGGTAAGTTATAGATATAAAAAATGCAAGCCATTTTTGTTCACATTGGACCAGAGTTTAGAAAATTACCTGTGAGAAGAATCAATATATAATGATCTGCTGAAGCCATTCATACCTTAGCAGTGGTTATGATGCTCTGACAGCTTCTTACCATGATTCGGTTATGGATGGCTTCAGCATGTTATTATATTCATTTTTCATGAAAGAAACATTCCAAGCTCTGCTCCTTCTCTCCTGGATAAATGTAAATAAACAAGCACAAAAACACCAGGATCCTTAATGATGAGCCTAATTACATTTCCCTTGTTAGTTTTTCCCCTCATTTTTTATCCTATTTTTTCCACTTTACAATTAATGTGAGAAAATTAGTTCATGGCATAAATATCAAAAAGCGGCAAGAAATTTCTTCATACTTTTTTTATCTACAGTATGAGGAGAGAGCAAGAGGGTGTTGGTTGCCCCTAAGCTATCCCCAGATTTAAATAGTTTGGATGGTCTTGGTGTCAGACTCCCTGGATTGAAAGTGCTCTTGCTAAGGGCCAGATCAGCAAACGAGAAAACAACAGCCATCCTGGATGAGCATAACCAATATATGTATCTCAGACACGTGCTTGGATGAGGCAGAGAGTGTTAACCTCAGATGGTCTTGGTGTCAGACTCCCTGGACTGAAAGTGCTCTTGCTAAGGGCCATGTCAGCAAACAAGAAAACAACAGCCATCCTGGATGAGCATGCTGATCCGGTTTGTATTACAGAGACTTGCTTGGATGAGGCAGAGAGTGTTAACCTCATTGAGCATCCCCTCTCATGAAGCAGAGTCAAAACTGACCCCCTGGTTCACCAGTGAGTTGGTGATTATGGAAGAAGTGAGTGAGAGACTAGAGAAATGATAGCAGAAACCCCAGAGTGAATCCAACCAGACACAGGATAGGGCCCACTGAAAGGCCTACTTTGTGACAAAGGTGGCAGCAGAGAAGTTTTTCTTCTCTACCACCATTGTGTCTGCACAGAGTTATGCTACACGCTGGACGGGTTCAAACGAGCATTGGAGACTTGGCTCTTCCATCAGGCTTTCCCTGAGTTTTAGGTTTTTGAGATCGCGGCCTCCCTCTTACCATCCTTTTTGCCATCCTTTTCATCATCCTTTTTACTACCTTTTTTGCCATCTGTTTTAATTTATCCTGCTGGTTATTATATTTGTTGCATGTATGTATTTGTGGTGGAATGCCCACATCATTCCTGTCCATCATAAGGAGCTCAAGTGCAGGAGCCTATGATAGGACAGGAGGGGCGGAGTTAGGGTGACAGACAGTTAGACAGAGAGGGAAAAAAAGGAAAAGGAGATAGGGAATGGAAGTGAGAGGGTTGGGACATTGAATTGAGAGAGTTAAGACAGCGATTGGAAAGTTGGTGTGTTATAGAGAATAGGAAAGAGTTAAAAGGAATACACAATAGATAGATGGTCAAAGAATATTGTTAAAGTGGTTATTGTGAATAAAAGCACATACAAGCAAACGTGTAATAAAATCAATCCTATTTAATGAATGATCCTCAACAACTGTGATTTACATCTGTGATTAAAGATCAGTAAACCTGTTGTATTGGCAGCACGTGTCTGAGATACATATATTGGGTATAGCGTGGACTATATCCACTGGTGGCAGCATAAAAAGAGGAAGCGCATCCAGAGAGTGGACCAGTGTTTGGGGAGAACAAACAAGGGACACTAGGGGGATGCGACAGTATTATTTCATTTTTTAATCATGTTTTGATATTGTGCTATTTATCTTATTGTTAGCCACTCAGAGTAGCCTGGTAGCCAGATGGTGTGGGGAATGAATGAATGAATGAATGAATGAATGAATGAATGAATGAATGAATGAATGAATGAATGAATGAATGAAGCTGGGTAATCAAGGGCCTATTGCAGGCTGGCCTGCAGGATGAGAATGCAGACCACATTGTAGCCTGCTGTGAAGGAATTGCAGGATACTTTCCAGACAGCATCGGACGACCTTGCTCAGATCCTCTCTGACTTAGATGCTGTAGATGATGCAGGTCCTGTGCAACTTTGACTCCTGCTTGTCCTTTTTTTAATGGATAAGTTTTTACAGTCTGAGGATGCAAACAGGATCCGTAAAGAGATGAAGGCTACCACATACCTCTTGAACCCTTTCCCTTCCTGGCTTATAAAAGTTGCCAGAGAGGACATGGCTGAGCGGGTAAGAAGACTGGTGGATGCCTCCCTGCAGCAGAGTAAGATCCCAACATGCTTAAAGGAGGCAGTAGTAAAACTGTTCTACATCCTTGAATCCTAATATACTGGATAATTATCAACAAGTCTCTAATGTTATCTGTTCTTAGGCAAGGTCTTGAAGCTGGTCATGGCTTCACAGTTTCAGGGGTTCCTGGATGAAACAGACACCTGGATCCATTTTAATCTGGCTTCAGGCTTGGTTATGGGACAGGCTGCTGTGGTCACCTTGCTGGATGACCTGCATTGGGAACTGGATGAGGGAAGTTTATCTCTGTTGTTTCTGCTGCTTTTGATATCATCAATCAAAGTATCCTTCTAGGATGGGTCTTATAAGCATTTTTAGAGGACAGTCTGATTCTTCCTGGATAGGAAGATGGTGCTAGTGAACTGTTCTACACCCTGATCATTGACCTGTAATGTCCCTTCAGTCTCTGTTTTGACCTCTGTGCTATTTAACATCTACCTGAAACCTCTGGGTATTTGTACGTGGATGACGCCCAACTCTCTTCTTTCATCTAAATCTGAGGACACAGTTTTAGTTCTAAAGTGGTGTCTGGTGTCAGTGATGGATTGGATGAGGGTGAATAAACTGAAACTTAATCCTGACAAGACAGAGGTACTCCTGGTCAGGGGGGAAGCAGAGCAGCGAATAGGGAACCAACCTGTGCTGGATGTGATTATACTCCCCCTGAAAACACAGGCGTGTAGCTTGGTTATGACTGTGGTTTCATCCCTGAGCCTGGATGCTGAGCTTTTGGTGGTGGTCAAGCATGTATTTGCACAGTATGAACTAGTGCAACCAGCTGCGCCCATTGCTGGAGATGTCTAATATGGCCATGGTGACAGATGCCTTAGTTACATTTATTTATTTATTTATTTGTTTGTTTGTTTGTTTGTTTGTTTGTTTGTTTGTTTGTTTGTTTGTTTGTTTGTTTGTTTGTTTGTTAGTTAGTTAGTTAGTTAGTTAGTTCGTTCGTTCGTTCGTTCGTTCGTTCGTTCGTTAGTTCGTTAATTAGTTCGTTAGTTAGTTAGTTAGTTAGTATACCACCCCATTAGAGTGATGCACTTCTCTGGGTGATCTGTAGTTGGCTGAAAAGACAATAAAGATAAGTCACATAAAACGACAGAAACAATAGAAACAACACTGAAACAACAGCTACCTCCTGGCTGGATTACTGTAGCACACACTGCATGGGGCTGCCATTGGAAAGTGTTTGGAAACATCATCAGGTCCAAACTGTTGCAACTAGATTGTTAATTGGGCTGGTTATAGGAATCACATAACACCCCCCCCCCAATTGCAGCACCTTTCCTGGCTGCTGGCCCATTTCCAGGTACAATTCAAAGTGCTGGTTGACGTATAAAGCCCTAAATGACTTGGTTCCAAACTGTTTCAAAGATGACATCTCCCTTTATGAGCCTGCCTGCCTGGATTTTAAGATCATCAAGGGAGGCCTTTCTCTTGATCCCACCACCTTCACAGGTGCATTTGTTGGGAACATGAGAGAGGGTCTTCTCTGTTGCTGTTGCCAGACTCTGGAATTCCCTTCCATAGGAGGCAAGGCTGTCCCTGTCTGTGCTGTCATTCCAGAAGTGGGTGAAGACTTTTCTCTTCAGGCAGGCTTTTCGTTAAATGACTGGCTGACTAAAGGGAGTTCTTAAAGAAACTATTGCATTTCTGTTGTTTTTAATTGGTTTTGAACACTACTTTTGGCCACGAGTTTTTAAGATGATATTTTTTAAATTCTTTCTTAATATTGGAAACATTTGTTGTTTTTAACTTTTATGCCATTTATTTTAAGATTATTTTTTAGTTTTTATGCTGCTTATTTTAAACTTTTAATTATTGGATTATTTTTAGGAGAAATGCGAGGTAAAATATTTTAAATAAATAAATATGTAACTGGGGGGGGGACACCAAATCACAAAGAGAGTGCTTTTGCTAAGAACAATATCAGAATTTACTTGTTTGAAATAAGAGTTGTATCTGTATTTGGATTTTCAAACAACTAATTGTTGGATTTTCAAACAACAAAAGAAATGTGGTTTCCATGGGTGCCCTGGAATGTGAAGTAGCAATGTGGCTAACAGCACAATTCTATACATGTTTACTCAGAAGTAAACTCCATTGTGTTGAGGTAGATGTGCATAAATAGAACTACAACCTTAGACAGGATCTGCAGTACACATAAGAGTAAGACTGTAATTGTTTTAACTGCTAGAAGTGGGTTTAGGTGGGATCTTCCACCTCATGCACCCAAACAATTTGATCAACTTAATTTCAGTACAATGTGTCTTGATTTGGGCAACTTAGGAGCACCATTCATTGCTCTTTCTTAGGCAGCAAATGTCTTTTGATGGCCCCGAAGTGAAGAGATGAGAGTGAAGAACTGGCTTTGAGTGAAGAAGAGGCGTGCCTTGGCCCTCATGTTCAATTACAGTGGTGCCTCGCTTAATGGGTGCCCCGTTTAACGATGAACCTGCATAACAATGAAGATTTTGCGATCGCTTTTGCGATCACATTGCGATGTTCCCTATGGGGAAAAATTGCTTTGCGATTTTTCCCCATATGCCCCATTCCCCCCCAGCTGACCGGTGGGGGCTTGGGAAGGACGATGGGGGAGCCCTCCCCCGTGGTCCTCCCAAAGGCCCCATTTTCGCACAGCTGATCGGCGGTTCAAAATGGCTGCCCGCTGTGTTGCCTTGCTTTAGAGGCACCAAAAATGGCCGCCCCTATGGAGGATTTTCGCATAAGGTGAGTTTTTAAGCTCATAGGAACACATTAAATGTGTTTTAATGCATTCCTATGAGCTTTTTTATTTCGCATAGCGATGTTTCCGGATAGCAACGATTTATCCGGAACGGATTATCGTCGCTATGCGGGGCACCACTGAAACTTACTTTTGCTCCAACAGGCTCGGCACCTCTAATATTAGCAGACAGATTCCAGTCAACCTGGAAGAAAAACCTACCTGTTGAATTATCAAGGCTGGTCTTCTCTCCAGGTGTCCTCTTAGTGATGGGTGTGACGTCCTCCTTTCACGTCACAATGGTCATGACACTCTCTCATTCACACTTTACTTGCTGCCACCAACCGCACTTATTGATCTGACTCATCAGACAATGGTATGGATTTAAAAATTAAAAAGGATTGTTTATTGAGAAAACATAAATAATAGTAAATCACTGTAGGAACTAAATAAGGCAATCAATGTAATAAAGTATCCCCCTCAATCATTCTCTCATTCAGACCTACTCTAGCACAGAACCTCATAACTTGAATAAACAGGCCCTAACACTCTATCTCATCCCAATCTCTCTTCAAAATCCCCAAATCTCCCCAACCTGCCTTCACCACATTCACTCCCCCCTTATATACATTAACTCCACCCACTGAAGTCCCACCTCCTGTCCTGCCATAGGCAGATAAACTCCAGCCATAGCAGTGACAGGCAGGTGACATCATCACAGCCGTCACAATGGGCATTGCCAATGCCAAGGCAGCCATCAAAAAAAGGATCTGGGATGTCGAGTGTTGAGAACATTTGGCGGTATAGGATAAACCTAGCATATTTAGGAGCAGTTCCTTTAGAATGCCCAATTACCTATCCAAAATAACAATCCCTAAATTTAGGAAAGCTTTTATGCTAGCTAGGTTTAATGTACCTCCATCCAGACTACTGGAAAGCATATATCAAGGGTTGCCAGTTGTTAATCGTGTGTGTCCTTGCAATGAGGTGGAGACTGAAAGTGTTGATCATGTCCTCTTAAAGTGCTCTTTCTAACGAGACACTCGGAGGGATGTCCTCCAGCCAATATTGCAACAATTTCAAGGGAGGTCCAGAGAATTTTATGGTGTGCTATTACTTTTGGACAAGTCTGATTTAACCAGTGGCAAAGTTCTGTGCAGTAGCAATGAAGTGTCGCTGGTCCCTACCGTACTTGCACTGATCAAGGGGAAGCTACAGTAGATGTTTCGTAACGCTTTAGTAATAATGTGTACTGGCCAATACTTGCACTGATCAAGGGGAAGCTAGATGTTTCATAACGCTTTAGTAATAATGTGTACTGGCCACCCTATATTCTATATGCTACACTGCTTCAGACAATGACACTGGAGGTGGTACAGAGTTTACTTCAGTCCAGCGAAACTAAGGAGGTGCCATCTAATTGAGTTACATTGTAACAGATTGTGTGCATGTGATATTATATTGCTACCTTATGCTACTTTTCATTGTATTTTTGTGTTATAGTCACATTTCGATATATCTGCTGCTCAGTGACTGTAATAAAGCTCATTGATTCATTGATACAAATACATTAGAGGCCTAGTCCTGAACCTTGGGTCCTCAGATGCTCTAGGACTGCAACTCCTAGAAATCTAGGCAAGCCCAGCTAATGGTGAAGGATTCTGGGAGGTGCAATCCAAGAGCATCTGGGGACCTAAGGTGGGAAACCACTGCATTAGGGAGTATGCTCCATTAAACTCACTGAGTTTTTTTATATCTATCTATCTATCTATCTATCTATCTATCTATCTATCTATCTATCTATCTATCTATCTATCTATCTATCTATCTATCTATCTATCTATCTATCTATCTATCTATCTATCTATTCATTTATTCATTCATTTATTCATTCATTTATTCATTCATTCTGGGCAGTTTATATGTTATAATAAGCATTCATGGGATTGCTCTACAGATTCCTGATAGACTAGGGCTCGAAGTTTGTTTTTGTTTGTTTATTTGTTTGTTTTGTGTGTGTGTGTGTGTGTGTGTGTGTTTGGAAGAAACAAATTTCCCTTGGCCTGATTTGGAATTAATTTTGTGATTTTCATGATGTTTGCAGAATTATTTTCCTCACCCCATCTCAAAGTGTCTCCTGTGCAGATGCAGAAGACGCTGTCGAAAATATAATTTGATCATTGACAATGAAGTTGACTTAACTCAAAATAATGTTTATTTATAATTTCAGTGTATTTTGGAAGAAAACATGAAAGTTACTACAGCGTCACCATCAACTGTTCACGCTGGTGAAATACATGCCCTTCCAATAATGGAAAAAAAACCAGAAGAAAAATGCTTTTGTTATCCAAATAAGGTAGAAGAGTCATTTGTTTACATTTGTGCTTAGCGTGATCTATAAAGTTTATTCTGCACCATGCTACTCATTTTTACTTGTAACTCTGCTTGTTTTATCTCAGCTAAGAGTTAACATTAGGGGATGTTATTTTCTGCAGCCTTTTTGGATTTAGATGCTAAGAGCACAAAAAAAGGGCCAGTGATCATATAAAGTTATAAATTGTACTGCACATGGCATGGCCGTGCCATGTTAAAGATGGCATAAATCCAGATTCTTAGTTCTGATGAAACACATTTTTGCTATAAAAAGCTTGAAGGGTTATACTGTCAACCCTCTGACTTAGCATGGATGATATCAACTGCTCAGATTTAAGGGAGATTAGAGGATTTTACCAGAGAGACAAATACTATAATAAAGGGTGATTTCACCTACTTCAGATTGATTGGATAAATATCACTCCAAGGTATGCTGCAGAGATGAAATTTCCAAACAGTCTGAATGACCATTTTCAAGAATAGCTAGCTTGAGAACCAGCACAGTGAGTGGCAGTCCTTTGCTTATTCCTACATGGAGCAGAGGGACTAGGTTATAATGTCAGTATAACCTGTCTGCAATGGAAGAACAGTATTCATAGTGTTCAATTTCAAATGTGCGGATATAGAAAAGGCTGAAGAAAGGCTGGTTTTTTTCATCAAAGGCGAATGAGAAAAAAATGGGACATGCAGACACACATAAACAAAGAAAGTCTGCTGTAAGAAAAAAGCTAGTATGCTTTGGTGCAAAAGTATGATCCCAAGTGAAATCACTTGTCAATCACTGATAGATGCTTTGCACAGGAACTGCAAGGAGATCAGATAGACTTCCAAAGTACCCTTTGGGACAAGCATTTTCATAAAGCACTTCAAATAATGTAGTTTGCATGTTGGTTTAATGAATATGGGAGGCCTTAAGCTGTGACAGACATTTTGCAGTAAGAAGATGTATTCTTTACTTCTGTATACAATGATTCCTTATATTTCCGTATACAGTGGTGCCTTGCAAGACGATGTGAATTCATTCCGTGCAAATCGCTGTCTTACGAAAACATTGTTTTGCAAAATGAAAAAGCCTATTGAAATGCATTGAAACCGGTTCAATGCGTTCCAATGGGCTGAAAACTCACTGTCCAGCGAAGATCCTCCATAGGGGCGGCCATTTTCGCTGCCTGTAAAGTGGGGAATCCGTCCCTAAACATAGCGGGGAGCCATTTTAATTACCCGGTGGCCATTTTGAAACCGCCAATTAGCTGTTAAAAAATATCGTTTTGCGAAGAATCAGTTCCCAAAGCAGGGAACAGATCGTCGCAAAGCGAAAAAAACTATTTAGACCAAAAGCGATAGCAAAAACGTCGTCGTGAAGCAGTTTTGTCGTTTAATGAGGCAATCGTTAAGTGAGGCACCACTGTACTGTGATGCAGGTCTCTCTCTAGAATGTTGTAACTCGTAGGAGTTTTGAATTTCTGGTAGAAATATCTTTTTGCTTCACAGTAGAAATACAAAGACCCGCAAAGAATAAAAAGTGCATCCTTTTCTCGTTAACTAGTACTTAAAAGTCTCAGTAATTCACTCTGAGACATTTGTAGGAGAAAAAAAATACAAAACATTTTATTTACAGTTACTTGAAATTACAGACTTGTGCACACTGTTTTCTTCTTCACACATACTACCAACCAACCAAACAGATGTACAGCAACAAACGGGGCAAAAAAAAAATTAAATAGAGGGGTAGAACACTCAATGGAGAGGTGGGTTTCTCTTTGAATTTCAAAAGCTGGAAGGAACAATTGGTTAATGCTGGATCAAAAGAAAATCACCCTGGCCCAGGAAACTGCCTTCCAGAGATTCAAACTATAGCAGCATGTGAGGCTGTAAATAAAACTGCAACAGTGATATCTGTGTTTTAGCCACTGAGGCTTTTAAAAAGCTGTTCATCAAGTACCACTTAAAAATCCTATTTCTCAAGCATAGGACATTTATTTGGCGGGGGGGGGAGCAACCCAAAATAAAAAATTTGAATATTTAGAATTCTGAAATCCTAAACATTTACAAGGGCTGTGTATGAGTTGTTTGCACAAGACCTGAGCAGTAACATAATATAAAAGTTCAAATTAGTATACCTCAAAACCCTTTAATGCTAATGGTGCATTAGAAAATAATAGAAAATGCAGTGATAATACAGAAATAAGAAGATTCCAGACACGATGAGCATTCAAAACAGCATGCCTTCCTCTTCAGCACACTCAACTATAGGCAAGGAAGCAGAGATGAATAGGCTATATTTGGGGAATATTGCGATGTTAGAAGAAACTCCCTCTGGCACACTGCCCAAATAAATACACAATAACATAAGGAGCAGGTTTTGTGACCTTTAGCTGGTATAAAGGTTACCAATCTTCAGCTCAGACCTCTCACATATATAGGAGTATTATTGCTCCTAAGGAAAGGGGGGAGAGGCATAAAACAACAGCGGAGATTGTTGTACGAGTTGCTGATGTCACAAAGTCCCGCCTCCCTCATCACACAGGCATAGGGATGATGTCCAGATGAACAAGACAAAAGGGGAGCAGACTAAAGAGCCAAATGTTTCAGATATTATTGGACAAACCTTAGTGAGACCAGTAGTGAGGGTTTATGGGAGTTGTAGTCCAACAATATCTGGAACACCACACCTTCCTGATAACTCTCAGGTGATGTTAGCATTTGCTCAACAATATCTGGAACACCACACCTTCCTTGATAACTCTCAGGTGATGTTAGCATTTGCTTCCTTCCACCGCCCCCCCCCAAAAAAAACCCTTAATATCCCATAGCAGAACCTTCCAGCTTTGTTTTGTTTTCTCAGGGGGAAGCAGGATTGCCAGGGGTAGCTGGTTTGCCTGGTCAGAAAGGAGAAAAGGTAAGAAATTTGTTGAAAAACTTCACTATCAGTGTTCACACAGTTCTTTTGTTTTGCTTGTTAGCAGTATATGTTAGAGAAACTGAAAGAAGCATAATTCGTACAACTTATTCTACATCCTTCTAAAAATTATTTTTACATGAACCACTGCATAATGGTACAGGTTTTATTCCTCTAGTAATAATTAAATGTAAAAATAAAAAGTAATAAATAAAAATAATAGTAATGGCAAGCCTTCTCTCAGTAAACAGGTACCTATGCGTGATTTTTAGACAGATTGTTATGCATTAATGCTTTGACTGGATTGTTAGCATTACTTGTGTTTTCCTCTCAGAGTGACATTTTTAAAAATTTTGTATACTTACTGATCTTTGCCTTAATATTGCTTGTAAACTGATGTAAGATACCTCCTTATTAGAGATGGGGGTAGACCGTCCACTCATGTGTTCGCTACTGCCACTGGCTCCACTCTCCCTTCCAATCGCTCTGGAGCTTGCGGTTGGCTATCGACCCCTGGCAGAAGGAAGGAAGATGAGTCTCCCTGCCAGGCTGACAAGTGGATAGCTGACTGTGAGCTCTGGAGCGATTGGAAGGGAGAGCGGAGACAGTGGTAGCAGCGGACACGCGAGTGGACAGTCTGGCCCCAGGGGGCTGCGGACACGCAAGTGGATGGTCTGGCCCCAGGGGGCTGGATCCTTGTTACATCCAACTGTGCGGGGGTATTCGTATTCATATACAAATACCCCCACCTCTACTCCTTATTCATTGTTCATACTTTTTAAACATAGCTTTTTAATGAAGTTAGCCACCGTTATATACTCATTGTTTTCAACTTCAAATATTGTCTTTCACTGGTGTGAGCCACCCTGGGTCCTTTTCAAGGTGAAAGATGGGATAAAATATTTAACTTAAATAAATAAAATAATATCCCACATCCACTGTTCTGCACACCTGTGAAACTCTAAATTGTATGGGACACTTGGATCTGAAGAACCATCTTCTTTATAAATTTCCATCATTCTTACTCTTGTTGGTGGGCACCCTGCTTTCAGTGTCTTTTCCTTCTAAAATTACATAGGTGCCTAGGAGGACCATGACTTCTTTCACTGTAGTTTTCAGATTACAAAGATATAATTCTTTTGGCATTTGAGCTACTAGTATTCTCCAAAGTGTATGCTGAACACTATCTCAACTCATATTGAAACTCTGACTCATAGTCCCTATTTTGCTAACCATGCCTCCTAACTTCACCAGGATATTCCACTTCAGGTTCATATTTCAGTGACATCCTCCTACTCTCACCACCCAAACTAGAGTTGAGAATCAGCTCTCCTCAGCTGATACTTGATATGTCCATATGCATGCAAGCAACATTAAAAAGAAACCTTTCCATGAAGCCCTTTCTGTATTGGCTTAACCATATTCTTATTTATCTATAATATTCCCTTGAAACTGATGATTTCCAATTTAGGTAATAATCTTCCATAGTAGCAGACATTTTGCTGAAACCCAAACAGACTATATTTCTCTTATCCAGAAGACCAATGGTCTTTTCCAGATTTGTTTGACATATTCTGCCTTTCAAAGACCTGGTTATGTTCCTTCTTCAACTCCTCCTTCCTCTCTTTTATCATTGTTAACCTCACTGTCTCCTTTGGGAATTTAAGTGGCATTGATGTGAGAAAGCAGAACAAAGTAAAAACAATGTAGTTGGCACAGAGGCTGGCATCATTATGTGAAACAAATTTATTTGGAAGGAAGCCCAGTTGCATTCTCAAAAACATAGACATATTTGATAGGCATGTAGCCATAATCCACAGCCCCATAGCCCTGATGACACTGGAGGCCTGCTATATACTTGAAGCAGATTGAAGTAGTAGAATGGACTGAGACATTCCTGGCTGCAGGTGGAGAATTATATTTATGAATGCTTCCTTTATATTAAACATTCCATGAAGCATGTATTCTTGAAGACTTTCACGGCCAGGATCTTATGGTTGTTGTAGGCTTTTCAGGCTGTTTGGTCATGTTCTGAGGGTTTTTCTTCCTAATGTTTCACCAGTCTCTGTGGCTGGCATCTTCAGAGGACAGGAGTCAGAACTCTGTCTGTGCTCTGAGACAGTTTGTGGAATAGTTGAGTATTTATAGCTGTGGGATCAGCTTTTGTCCTTTTTCAGGAGATTGGGTGATTATGGTGATCAGCGTGTTTTTTGTTGTAACTGGAGAAACGTTAGGAAGAAAAACCCTCAGAACAAGTTCAAACAGCCTGAAAAACCTACAAAAACCACTCCATGAAATACTCATTAAAGACAAAAACCAGTCAAATATGTCTATGTTTTGAACAAAGGGCTGGGAGAGAATTCTTTGTCCTGATTTTCTACCAACATGTTATTTGGTTAGGTATTCAGAAATGACTCCTTCCCCCTTTTAAGTTTGCATTGAATATAGTCCATTGTATTCCCTCAGGACATTTTTCCCTAAATCTCATCTTGTTGAAATGAACATATATCTCAAGTTTAGGATGGAGGACCAAACAAGCTGTGACAGGAATCCTCTTTCAGGAGTTCTAATTCCATACAGATTATTTCAGTCAGTTAAACCAGTGGTCCCCAACCTTGGGCGTCCAGATATTCCTGGACTACAACTCCCAGAAGCCTTCACTACCACATCTCCTAGCCAGGATTTCTGGGAGTTGAAGTCCAAGAACATCTGGAGGCCCAAGGTTGGGGACCACTGAGTTAAACCACTCACCTTATGCAATGGTGTAGGGCTGGTTGGTCATGTAGCTTCCATTGGTTCTCATTAAAACAATTTTGCTCACTCTCATAAAGAATTAGTTGGTGAAATGCTGGTTAAACTGGAACTGAAAGTGGTGGGGGCAGGAGGTAGAGAAACAGTGAGGTTATCAGCATGTTCAAAGAAATCTGGAGTCTGTAAGACAAAACAAAACAAAATAGCCCTTTTAAAAGTCTGTGGAGAAGAAGGAAGTGTTCCATTTCTTTTAAATTGTTTCTAAAAACCATCATATCAGCAATGCTTTGAAAGGGATTTTTCCTTTCAAATTGTTTCTGAAAACCATCATATCAACAATGCTTTGAAAGGACTTTTGGGGGGGGGGAGGCTTCAATTTCTCAAGATCATTAAAGGACTTACATAAAGCATGGAAGAGGAGACGGGAGGAGGATTTTTCCCCCTAAAAGGAAAGATGATTGGTCTACATTATGCCAAACAAGATTGCTTAAGTTGTGGTGTGGTTGATCCTTGCATGTGGATGCAAGGAGTACTTCAAATGACATGCAGCACCTGAAAGCAATACTGTTTGGCATGTTCTAGATTGATCCAGCCCAGGATAATTGGACTATCTATAGTTGCAATCTTGGTAAAAGATCATACTGGGAGGAAGCTGTGGAATAAAATGTTAAGGATACTACGAACCCATATGATGCACCAACAGTCTCAAGCGAATTGTTAACTGCCTCTGGGCAGCTTGTAGTAGATCAGCTACTGTTAAACTGAACAGTTTGCAAGATACAACCCTCTTTCTATTAAAATGAAAATCATGCAAAATAGGCATACCTTTAGAATCTAATTTGTTCCAACACTTTGTTAGAGATGGGAAAAGTTACTTTTTTTGGAGTCCATCTCTCATAATCGTATGGTCAACTCAGGATATTGTTATCAGAAGGGCTTAAGGAGAATAGCTGCTTTATTGTTGTTACGGAGCTGCTGTATGTATCAGGCATGTGTGTGTTATGTGCCACCAGTTGGAACCAACTTATAGCTACCCTAGTAGGGCTTTCAAGGTAAGGTAAGTGAGATATTTAAGGAGTGGTTTTACCAGTTCCAACACCCAGCTGAGTGCTCGTTTGAACCCAGGTCCCCTGAATACTCAGTGTCTTTCATTCTGTCCACTTATACCACACTAAGTGTCACACATTGTGTGTAGGATCTAATTAATGTCATTAAGTCTTTCTTTGCCCTTGAATCTGAATATCAGAACACAGAACTACAGAAATTTGAAGTAGATTGCATGTAAAAATATACTACTGGAGACAACAGAATAGTTCAGAGCTCTCTTAAAATAGCTGATAACAAGACAGGAAGCAAAAATATGACATAAAGCTCATTCTATGGGCACGCAGAGAAGTTGACGTGAGTCACTTCTGATCCTGCTGTTGTCTATCCTCCTAAACATTGGAGGCAGTTGCTAATAACATAGTCATCAGGGTGCCATCCTGTTGCTGGGTGAGTGAGCCAGCTTCACATGCTTGCATTCAAAACCATTTCAATGGGAAAGCGTAAACATAATTACTTCAATTCACTGGATTTGAATTTCTGGGTTGAGTGCAGCATGTGTGGCTCATTTTGCTTGATTTGCTCATCCCCCTGTGCCCATGCCAATAAATAAGTGTTGCCAGCTGGATTGTACAGGTGCAGCCCTTTGAATTTCTGCAAAGGAAATCTGTGATTAGAAGAAGACAGGTATAAAAGCAGCAGGATATTGCTTGTGGAGGCAATTTACTATGTAGACAGCAGTAGTGACTTGCAGATATTTACTTTTTGAAAACACGAGCTTAGTGCATTGGCTAATTACTTCTCATTCCTTATGCTGGTAGAAACAGTGATGTGAGACCATGTTGTAACCTAGCACAGCTGTATGGACAGTTGCTTATCTCAGGAATTATCCTTGCAGAATGGGGCATCTCATCTGCAAACCTGGGGGCCTGCCTGTGTTTCAGAGCCCATCTTCCTTTTCAAAGCCTCTTATTCATATCATGCGTTTTGTTTAATATTGCTAGATATAGCCTTGATATGTGACATTTCGTATTTCACTCTGCTACGTACCTAATATCTCACATACACACCTCTCCCACACACAACGTTTAACAGACAGCAACATATGTTTTCCTGTACTGGATGTGTAGGAGATTTTTGCGTCAGCTAGATTTTGTGATGAATCATGGAATTTTAGAGGTTGTGTAACCTAAACGTACTTATGAGATGGTGTGGATGTTCAGAAGAAGTGGACATTTCCAGAGTGAAAATTGTTTGTTTTTGAGACCCAATTTCTAATGAATATTGATTCAGTGAGCTAGTTTAACCATTGTTTAGGCTTACAACTTTAGCTCCAACAAGCCCATGTGCCCTACACATCTCTGGAGCATTTATTTATTTATTTATTTATTTA